GCCTGTCGCCTCCCCACCCCGCACACACACACACTCAGTCTGCCCCAGGTCCCCTGGCATCGCCACCACCTACCATCACCATTAATCATCCCTTCCATCATTTTAATCAAATTATTACTGCCAGGTCAGAGGTCACAGCTGAACTCCATAAGCCCCAGCTCTGAGGGGGCGGGAGACTGGGGATAGAAAGGGAGTCGGAGGAAAGCAGAGGGCGTCTTCATTGGGGGCGGGGGGATACCAGCCCCAGTTTGACTTTTAGAGCAGGGCTCCCGGTTCTTTTTGATCAATAAGAAGAGCCGATACAGTTTTTCCCGCTCCCAGAGAGACCCACGAGGGATGATTTTGTGTGCTTAACTTGTATGAAAGTTTGCCCCCTCGGCTCTGGAAACAGGACAGCGCAGGACTCGTTTTTGTAAATGAATTTCTGTCTCCACACTTTGTGAAGTGGGTGATCGGTCCGATAACACAGCCCAACAGCGCGCCCCGCACCCCCAGCGTCCCGAAGCGTGCGAGCTCCGGTGTGGAGGAAGAAAAGATGAAGAATGATTTTTTCATGCCCTTTTGTGGGTCTGCGCTCAGTTGGTTACTGTGTTGTAACATCCCACAGAAGTAAAACGGCCCCCTCGCAATAATTACGGTATCTAATATGAAGGAAACTGCAAAGGATACTTTATTATATGGATTTGTCCTAGTGAGGCAAGTGTTCAGTCAGTCAGCGAGTTTTCTCTGAGAAATCCCCCTTCTGTGTCAAATTCGTTGGTTCGTGGAAAAGTAATTGAGCCAGCCCGGACTTTGAGAAGTGAGAAAAGTGAAGTTCCTGAATGACCCTCCTTTTCTCTGAGAGACGTTATTCACCTTTCTAGATTTCTGTTGTGCACCCCACTTCTAAACACCTGACTTTTTTTTAAAGGCGCATTTTTTAAGACCCTGAAAACTCTTTATATAGTACAGACCCGAATGGTCCATATATATTTCCCTGCGAAGCTATTTTTAGAAACTCTATAACACTGAAGGACCGTGATCTTCACACTTTTTCCTAGGGGCTCCTGGGGAATTCTGCTGTTTCATTTGACATGAAAACATGATTAGATCCTCGTTTATATTTCATATTTTTACAGCTGCCCGGTTCCCATTCAGGCTCCGCGCCTTTGAAATGTCTGGCTCTGTACAAAAGCACGTCTCTCTCGGCAAACAAAGAAGCAGCTGGATTTCTGCGCACGTGCTTTTGTGGGTTTTGAAGCCTTGTCATAACTCTACCCACAGGGCACTGCATTTCTGCTAAACCATTCACGTCGGCGCAACCTATTGAAACGCCACTGGTACCCGCCCCCCCGGGAGAGACGGTGCATTGAGATCGATGGCAGCACCAGCACAAAAGAATTTTTGATTGAGTTCTAATACCCTGATCTTGAAAGGGATCCTCGCCGGGGGTGTGTGTAAGGCCTGCCTGGGTGTCTGTGCTGCGCAGAGGTGAGGCTGCGGGCTACAGCACACAGGAGGAGGTGAACCCCTATTTCTGCCTGTTCGTCTTCGTGTTCGCTCCGGCAGGAAAGGTCATCTAGGAACCCCAGTTCTGTGTTCGGAGACTGATCCTGGGATCCTCATCCCGCCATTTCTCGAAGTATCTCAGGAGTTCAGCTTCAACTTCATCGGACAGGGCCGTTTGTGCCCGCCCCCCACGTCTCTTTGTGCAAAGGAGCGCTCCCTTTTTTTTTCTGTTCCCCGCTGTTTTTTTTTAAACAGATTTCAGGTGAACGTAAGTTCTGTGATTGTGAAAGGCATCGTTTTGTGCCGAGATCATTTCCATCCCTTATTACAGTTTACCGTGACGATAATTTGAGTTTCCCTGTGCTCAGACGGTGCGCTACAACCTCCATTTCAGCCTTGTATAAATCATCATTCTGCATCAGTGAATACCAGAGGCAGTAATATTTAAATAGTTATTAAGGACATGGGGCAGAAGGTCTTGTTTGCAATGAGATAATATTTGGTAGTTGTAGCTCTAACGGAGCTGCCCACGTCGATGACACAGCGGCACATTTAATTGAAATCTGAAATCCGAAACAGGTGGCCAGATTTCGGCTTCTCGCCCTGTAAGAGTTTCTCTGGCTTTTTCACGACGTCTGGATGTGGCGCCGTTTTTCGTCTCTCTCTTTCATTTGCCACGATTTCACCATCCCGGTCACCTAGTAAATGGTCGCTATGGTACGTTCGCGGCGTGGAATAACTTTATATATATATCAAAATAGTTCAGGTGGGGAGCTGCGTCAGCATGCGTAGGCTGCAAAGGAACAAGTAATAGGTTTATTCCATGCTGAAAAGAGAAGAGAGGACGCAACGTTTCGCTTTTCACACCTCCTCACACCTGAAGAAGGCTCCGCGGCCGAAACGTTGTGTTTTTTCTTTTTTTTCAGCATGGAATAAACCTATTACTTGTTCCTATATTTCCAAATACATCAGAATGCAATGCATTTCCTGGAAGTTTCGCATTATACACAACACTGTTTCTAATATGCACCCTGAACAAATGTAACCACTTAAATGTTTTCTTCTAACACTATTTCACTTTTATTTTCAACAACAACAACAACAACAACAATAATAATAATACACTTTGCCGTTGATGAAAATACGTTCCCGTTTACATTTGCGCTTTAAAGAGTATTTCATGGACCTCTGTGCAGACAACAGATGCTGAAGTCCCTTGCATTGTTTTCAGTTTTGGCGGGCGCTGTGAAAGAATGTTTAAATATTTGATTTCGGCTCCGCCAGCGGAGGCCGGTAAACAAAGAGTTTGAGACAATAGGTATCTCCTCCCACCGTCCCTCCCTCCCCCCGACTCCCCTCGCTGGAGTTAGAGGGTACTGGGTTCCCCGAGGGGACACAAAAGCCTTATTGGAGACGAGGGAAGACGCCCTTCTTTGGGGGAAAAAAAAAGTTAGTGATCAAGCCAATTAGGACGCATTGTCATTAAGAAACTTGCCAGAGCAGAAATCGATTTGGCCATTGTGCGCCCGCTGGGTACTGATCCGCTTACTTTCCCATATAATTATTGTTTTTTTATACAAAATTCCCATTTCATTTTTATTCTCTGATTCAGATTATACGTTTTTTTTTTAATTCTGCAACTTCCAAACCAACGCAGGGACTTCTCCGCAACGACGAGATGAAAAGACATTCTTCTTGCTGTGTAGGCGTGGGTATACATGACATTCAGATGTCACGCAGATGTCTGAAAGTAAGCAAGGTTTTTTTTTTTAATCAGAGTGTAGCCCAAACCTACACTGACGCTAAATTCAGACTTAAAAGTAGTGACGGTTCTGCAACTCATTTGTAATTGGTACTCTATACCTGTAGATGCATTAATAGCTAAAGATCTGGAAGAGAAGCCGGGCTTTACAAATTAAAAAATATATAAAGCGCTCTCCAAGTGATGTTATGACATTACTCTGCGGTCTACCTAGCAGTAACAAATGCAATAATGTACTGTATTAGGCTAAACATGCCCGTTAAGGCTTGCCAATATCTCAGGAACCACCAGCTCCAACTTCTTGAGTGAGCCTTTCTATGATAATGCTCATTAATCAGCCGGCACTGGAGATTCCGCACCGTGTTCATCGTAAAGTTCTTGAATTACGAATGGACTTGATGCAAAGAGCCGGAAAACAGTGTCGTGGCTGAGAGGTGACAACAGCAGGCGAGGATCACTGTGTGTTGGCTTGGATTCCTACGCACAGTCATTAAAATCGGATTGTGAAGGGGGGTTCGATCAGTCGTTTGATTAATAGGTGTTAATGTGCTCCTTTGTACCTTCCCCGAAACGCCATTATAGGGCTTTGTGGACACATTAAATAGTACAACCCGATTCAATTACCGTAGAGGGGTTCGTGATCAAAAGGCAAGCGACTAATGCGCCTAATCGCGTTTTTTCCCCTCCTTTTTGTGTTAAAAGTCCCATTTTCGGTGTCAGCTGATTGCCACTGTATATTCCCCCCAGATCGTGTTTATCTGCCAGCGGTGGGGGTCGGCCACACTCTTTTCTTCAAATGCCTGATTAACACGGGGTCCCTCCCCCTCCAGCACAGAGCCATCGTCTCGGGTCAATCGCTGAATAGGTTGTGCTTTTTTAATTCAGACTTTTTGGCGGGCTGTTTTAATTATGGAGACACCACTGTCGGGATTTTTTTAAAGGGGCATCTGTTTTCCTCGTAACAAGGCAAGCGACTATGAAACTATTTTACTTGTTCTAAGATCACCAGGAATGTGGGTTTATAAAGTGGAGGTTCTATACGTTTACAAGGAAATATATAAACACCTGGGCAGGGAATTACCTCTTTAAAATAAGATATACAGTGAACGATTCGGACGGTGGTGTTTCTTTGTGCCAAAATGAAGAAATTCAGGAAGCTTTACAGTCAAAATAAAAGATAGCTATCTTACATGTTCGAGTTCCTTAAATTGCCCTAGGGAATGAATGAACTGTTTTGAATTGCACAGCACTATGGGGTCTGTTATTAGTCTCTGCATTTGGATTTCGCATGAAATGAATGAACTTGCACGTAAGGGCTCAAGCCTTTCAAACAAAATCTAGTCTATTATCGAGAGTTCCGATTAACGTGCATCCAACGTTTCATTTAAAAAGGCCATTCGTGTATAATCGGCGTCAACGGGGAGACGTAGTGTGCATTTTACTATGTAATACTTTTTGAACACACGTTGAAAAAAGTCACTCTTCTAATGTGAATGTTATCTGTATGGGTGTGACATTTATTCCACTCGTTATCAAAGACAGACTGATTGAAGGGCTAGGTGGATATGAATGAGTTCATTATCCTGCACCTACCCGGTAGGAACTTTTAAAATAGCTTACGAGAATTAGTTATTGGTCTTCTCAGCGCTGTGCACATCACGGAAATAAGCTGAAGGCTGGAACTGACGTGTATTTGACAAATGTTGTACATGTATCCAATGTATATCTTTTTTTGGTTTCTGCACAGGGATTTGGAGACACGTTTTGAATTTTCCCAAAAGTTTCCGTGTCCTGCTGCGTGTCAACGAGACAGTTCTGAAATTGGCGATGTTAAACAAACAAAAACGATCAGTGCTGAAGCATGCATATACATCTAGATCTATTCCCTAGCGGGTATCTCTTCGACCCACGCAGAAAAGTTTTTTTTTTTCTGTTTTCATTTGGCCAGTGAAGTCATTTAAAACGTTCAGCTGGTTTCTATTGTCCTAGACCACGCCCCCGCCCTCCGCTGCCTTGTCTGTGATTGGCGAAAAGTTTGGTCCCCTGCTCGCCATTGGCTGGCGCGGCCCGCGGCCCCACCACTAAAACCTTCAGACGCCACCGAGGCGTCTCAGTCAGATTGTGGAAATAGTAGCCGGGATGCTTAGTATGTAAACTGCGGGGCTGGAAAGCAAGGTGTTGCGGTGCAGAGCGCATGGGAGGTGTAGATGTGGTCTCGGAACATGGGCCGTGAAGACGCTTTTGGGATTCGGCTGTGCGGGTCAACCTGCAAGTAGCGAGTGGCTGTGAGGGGGAACGGCAGGACACCCCCACCTCCACCACCACCCCACTTCCACCCGGTGTTGCTGAGACGTCGTCGAAAATGCTTCCACTCCGGCTGTGCGCCCTGTGGATCCCGCTCTTCTCCGTCTTGGACCCCGCACTGTCCAGCTATTCCGAGGACCAGTGCAGTTGGAGAGGGAGGTAAGTTATCGGTTGTTAAGTTGCGTCTTCAAAGCGTTAACTCGGATCCGTCTGGTCTGTGTGTCCGGCAGCTTTTCAGAGGTCTTAAAGCCACTCCTCGTTATCTCTATCTTAGTGCGCGTGTCTTAGGTTTTGGAAGAGGGGGACCACTGCAGAACTGGGGTACTGGTACCCGTTTTGAACGGGCGTCCGTCCATCTGCCCAGCTGCGGTGTGATGGCCACCCAGCCGTGTTCCTGCAGTGGTTCGCTTCAGTTGGCACAGTGAAAGGCTGGCCCATGCGATTCGCTAAGGCTGCTGTTTGCCCCCTCTTAATAGTAACTTCTTGCTAGAACAGCATCAACTGGGATATCGCTTATGTTCTTTTACCAAACGCCTATAAGCGTGATGAACGTTGTACGTCTTTATTAATTAAAGTAGTTCAGGTGGGTGGCTGCGTCAGGAAAAGGAACAAGTAATGGGTTTATTCCCTGCTGCAAAGAGAAGAGAGAAAACGCAACGTTTCGGCCGTGGAGCCTTCTTCAAGTGTGAGCACCAAACTTTGATTTATTAATCAAATACGCATTCGCTGCGTTGGAGACTAATTGAACTTGACCAGGTGTAAATAAAACTAAAATAAATGCTGAAACCATCGGTCCCCATCAGAGAGTTTCTGCTTCCCTCGGGTTTCGGTTGACATCCTTCTAGAAATTGAGATTCGTACCCCCGTGTGCGGAGTTTGCATCCGTGTTGCATTGGCGGCGTCTTTTGCTTAGGATCTGTCACTTCGCTGTGACTGCTGTAAACGCAGGCACCAAAGGACGGCGCCCATAAAGTTTGAGGGGGTGTCGGATTTCAAACGTGTCGACATTGGCACCTCGGCAATTAGACCTGCTCTTTGATGTGTCCGACGTCAAACGAGTAAATCGAGTTGGAGAAAGGAACCTGGACACGTTGACTCCAGTCGGGTAGCTCGAATGTTTTAGTATGCCGTCCAGTTGCATGGAAATTTAACGGTTTGTAACTGAGCGTATGAGAAGTCTGCTGTACTATGCGAGTGAAACTGGCTTTTGGATCTTTTTGTACGTTGTTTCCAAGTTATTTATAGGTTGGGGGGTGATGGAGTCTGGAAAAAGTCATTAAACGGCTTGTTCCCCCCCCACTCGGCGTGTTACGCGTCGTCACCGATAGGCGTCGCCACTGTTCATCTGTGGTGAAAAGAGACGTCCTTGCGTTCCGTTGCAAACGACGTGCCTCATTTTACGACTATAAAACCGCAGATTTCAACTGTTATGGCGATCTGGAGGCTGGGCTCTGGACCGGAGTCCCACCTGGGGCATTGTGGGACGTTTGCACGGCCAATGGCGAAGTTGTGTGGCTCATGGGAGAGGAGACCACCCTCCAATCTGTGACGTATAACATCACTTTATTAGCCCTATACAATTTATACAAGCGGTGGCTCTGTAGCTAAAGATCTGCGCCTGTGGCTGGAAGGTTGCTGGTTCGTATCCGGCGGCTGGCAGGGAAATCCTACTCCACTGGGCTCCTGACCAAGGCCCTTAATCCCCACTGCTCCAGGGGCGCCGTATAAATGGCTGACCCTGTGCTCTGACCCCAAGCTTCTCTCCCTGTCTGTGTGTCTCATGGAGAGCAAGCTGGGGTATGTGAAAAGACAAATTCCTAATGGATGAAATTGAATATGGCCAATAAAGTGATGTTCTCTCTAAAAGTGCTCTCCTGTAGTGAGGAAGACTTGTCTTGATCTGGCAGGGCTGCGCCGCTTCCTGTTGGCCACGCTTCTCACCCGGGTCTCCCCTCTCTTGCAGCGGACTCTCCCAGCAGCCCGGCAGCGTGGAGCAGATCTCCCTGCACTGCGCGGAGGGCGCCCTGGTCTGGCTGTACCCCAAGGGGGCGCTGCGGCTCAGCCTGTCCCCCCGCCTGCCCTCGGGGGCGGTGGGACCCGGGGGCAGCGGCCGGAGCTCGGGCCAGATCACGGCCTGCATCAAGCCCGCCGAGAGCTTCCGGGGGGCCCAGATCTACCTGGAGCGCGACGGGCTGCTGGAGCTGCTGGTGGGTGAGCGCCCGGGCCCCCCCGGCCGGCCCCCGCGGGTGCGCTGCTTCAGCCGGCAGCCCGGCGAGAAGGTGGCGCTGTTCCTGCAGGCCACGCCGCACCAGGACATCAGCCGGCGGATCGCCTCCTTCCGCTACGAGCTGAGGGGCGACTGGAACGCCCTGCTGGCGCCGGACTCCAGCACCACCACCACCAGCACCAGCAGCAGCAGCGAAGGTGAGGGGGCGCCCTTTCCTCGACACCCCCAAAAATACCTGGGGAAAACTGCCCTCCATTTGTGGATTTGCGACTTCTTATTTGGTGGAGCCAAAAGTAGCTTAAAAGGCTTCAAGACCGATTTGAGGGCTCTTGCACTGTGCACTGTTGGCATGGTCCGCCATGTTTTTTCCCCTCCCCTCACTGCTACGCGTTTGTTGTTCCTGTTGTCGTGTGTAATGTACTGTCGACGTTGTGCGGTGTTGTCTGCTGTACCGTGGGTGTCCCCAGAGATGAGCACAAATGGGATTTCCAATGTCCGTGTGCGTTTGGCGGTAAACTCCTTGTCTAGAGTAGTTCAGGTGGGGAGCTGCGTAGGCTGCCAAGGAGCAAGTAATGGGTTTATCCCCTGCTGAAAAGAGAAGAGAAAACACGCTGTTTAGCTGTGGAGCCTTCTTAAACTCGCACCTGAAGGCTCCACGGCCGAAACATTTTCTTTCCTCTTTTTTTTTCCAGCATGGAGCTCCTCGCCTATTACTCCTTGGTTCAGGTGGGGAGCTGCGTAGGCTGCAAAGGCACAAGGAAGGGTTTATCCCATGTCAAAGAGAATGCCAACGTTTCAGCTGGGGAGTCTTCAGGTGTCAAACTGAAATGTTGCTCCCCAGCAGAGAGTTTGTCTCCTTTCTCATTTCAGCATGGAATAAACTTTTACTTGTTCATTTACCGTTGCTACCTGCCTACCGACTAAGCAGAAGAGGCAGCGGAGTGCTTACGTAGCCCTTTATGCACCTGAGCTATCCTGACGTTTGTGCTTAATTTGGGTGTGGAGCCCCGTCCTTTCCAGCTTTTTGTGAAGGATTTTCGGCGCTGGGAGTTGATAACGGGGGCCTGTACAGAATGGCCGCCGGAGCTGAGAAATCATTCAAGTTCCCCGGAGGCCAGTGGACGAATTCCCTGGCTGCTCTTGCCCTGAGAGAATGCGTTTGTCAGGGGGTTTGAACAAAAGCCCAGTGTGAGAGGACTTGTAGAGAACTAGGCCTTTCATTCAGCCACATGAGAGTTCAGGGATTAGTGGGGTTGCTGTGGTAACGGCGAGGCCTTTCATCAGCTGGGATGCTCCCTTTGTTTTGTTTTTCCTCTGCAGGGCCGCTTGTCTCCAGGAATTCACCAGGCTTGATTAGTGACCGGAGGAGGGGGGGGGCGGTAGCCCATTAGGGGGCTACAAAAATAGGGCTTGGAATGCCAAGTGGATCTTAAAATTACTCTTCTTTCCCCCCTCTGGGAACAAGACTGCAAGGATTGGTTCTGCAATGTCACCCTCGTTGTTATCCCTCAGTTTTTTTTGTGGAAAATGAGTAATTTAACCACAAAAATGTATGAAATTACACTTTCCCTTTCCAGATGTCCGTCTTATTGTGGAACTGCTTTCTTTTTTTCTAGAAAGCTGAATATGCTTTTCCAAGGAAAGCAGCCAAAAATCAGATGGGTCACTCTTGCCCAACTGTCAGTACGGTTTAGGGACATTCATTTTCTCACAGTGCTGTTTCTAATTGAGTCTTTATGCTACTTTCAACAATTTTCAGATGCAATCTGTCCTTCTGAGTAGGTGAATCATTTGGGGCATCCTTATTTCTTAATACTTCCAGTGAGATATCCTTGGACTGAATTTTAAAATTTGATGTTGGTCATAAACGGGCAGACCCATCTGCTCTCGGCCGTAGTGTTTTTGTACAGCTCAGGCAGTGATGAGCAGACCCTCGATTCCTGGTGAACTAATTAGGGCGGTGTAGTTCAAGTAGGCGGGGAACAATTAAAGGTTTATTCCAGGCTGAAAAGAGGAGAAAAATATTTCGGCCTCCTGCAGGTGTGTTCGGCTCCACAGCCAGAATGTTTTTCCTCTCTTTTTAGCATGAAATAAACCTTGCCTTGTTCCTAATTGGGGCAATTCGAGTTACAGGAGTGGGTGAGGTCTTTCATGTTGGCCTTGACGTTCCTCCAAGTAAGCAAACAAGCAGTCAGAGGCACCTCTGCTGTGGTCATCTTCGTTTTACACGTCCCCCCCCATCAAAGACCTCCACCCTGGGGAGAAATCGGCTACAGCCCTGTTTGCAAACCTCCCCCAGGCTCCTCCATTTTAGAGACCTGCTGCAAAAAAGCAGAAGGGCGATTTTAACAGGGGAGCCATGGAGAGCTTCCCAGGTGCATTGTTTTGCCTCGGCTCCCTGCCTGCTTTGTTAGTGTTGCTTGTAGCATGTGTGTGCTGGTCATGCGTGCGCCAGCATATTCTAATCTGTGCCACCTCTAGACTTGGGTACATTTAGATAAGTTTAACTGATCTAATTGGTTTAACAACTTTTTGTGCGGATCCAGGAAGTGCTGAATGTGGGCTGTTCTTGTACCAACAGGACTTTATGTATTGGCCTCACTTGGGGGTCTGTAAAAAATGTACTTGCTGTGAGACCGTGTGGCCGTCTTGTCTGTTCTCTCACTTTCTGCCTCTGTTGCGTCTCCAGCTGCCTGCAGACCCTGCAATGACACGGAGATCCTGATGGCTGTGTGCACCAGTGACTTTGGTGAGTTGAAATCGACCTCC